AAAATACACAGGAATTTTTCAGGACTGTGTGGTATCAAGATCCCACAGACAGAAGTTAAAACAAGAAGGGAAAACAAAAGAGAAAGGTGAAGGAGTTGAGGGCCAGTTAGCTGACACTCTGTTTGATGAAATGGTAAATGTAAGCAAGGAGAGTATCAGGCAGGGGTATGGAGTTCTGAAAGACTAATGGAGTTATAACAAAAAGATGAGATGATAAATGATTTATAACATAAGGCTTACTCAGAAAATGAATCAGAATATATTCCAGAATGTTATTATCTTAAGGATAAAATCTTAAGGTGGAAATGGAGACTGTAGCAGATTCGTACAGATGAAAAATGGGCGGAAGTTCACCAGGTTGTGTTGCCGATAGAATACAGACAGCAAATATTGTGGGTAGCACACAAGTTACCTGTAGGAGGTCATCTAGGAGTGAGGAAGACTCAGGCTAAGATACAGAGGCATTTCTATTGGCCTGGATTACATAAAGATGTGGTTGAAAGACACGTGTTGGATTGTAGGAAAGCCACAGGCCATAATAAAACCAGTGCCTTTGAAGCCAATGTCTGTCTTTGAAGAAACTTTTAAGCAGGTTATAATTGACTGCACAGGTCCCCTCCCTAAAACCAAAAGTAGGAACCAATATTTGCTAACCGTAATGGATGTGTCTACCAGGTTTCCAGATACAATTCCATTATGGAATGTCAAGGTAAAACATGTTGTGGAAGAGTTGCTTGCTTTCTTTACCCGTATTGGACTGTGCAGGGAGATTCAGTGAGACCATGGGTCCAATTTTACTGCCAAATTATTTAAGGAGGTCATGGATAGTTTAGGCATCAAACACTGTAAATCAAGTGTGTATCGTCCTGAATCCCAGGGATTGTTGGAAAGGTGGCATCAGACCTTAAAGACAATGCTGAGGGCTTATTGCCAGGATTTCCCAAATAATTGGGATACAGGTTTCCCATTTATATTTTTGCTATTAGAGATGCTCCAAATGAATTAACTTAGTTTATCCCATTTGTATTGATACTCAGACATGAAGTTGAGGGCCTCTAAAATTAATTAAGGAGAAGTTGATAGGTCCAAAGTCAGTGATCTCACAGTTGGATTATGTATCTGAGGTGAGAGAAAGATTAAACAGAGTAGGTGAATTAGCTGGACAACATTTGAGGGTGACACAGCACATAAAGAAGCAAGAAGCAGATAAGAAATCTAAAATTCGTACGTTTCCCATGGGGGTAAAGTATTGGTGCTGTTAGCAGCGGTAGGAGATCCCTTCAAAGCAAGGTTTAGTAGTCCCTATCAGATTAAGAAGAAGTTAAATCAGGTGAAATTTCTGATAAAGATGCCAGATAGGAAAAGCATTTATCGGATATGTCATGTGAACATGCTGAAACATTACTGTGACAGGGAAAGGGAACTGGAAAAAACAGGTCCTAGCTACTGCCAGATGATGTGGATTTAGATGTGCGTCAGAATAAATTGAATAATGAGAAAGTCCTTAAGCAATGAGATAGGGTAGTGAGCTATCTGTCTCAGGAACAGAGAACTGAATTGAAAGGCTTGTTGCAGGACTAAGAGGACATATTTAGAAATAGAAAGGGGAGGACTAACATGATAGTTCATGAGGTTGATGTAGGGAATGCTGTTCTAATAAAACAACACCCCTACAGGCTTAATCCTCTCAAAGCAGCACAGGTTCAGAAGGAAGTAGAAGTGATGCTCCAAGAGGACATCATAGAGCCAAGTCAAAGTGAGTGGAATTCACCATCTGTGTTAGTTCCCAAACCTGATGTTACTCAACAATTCTGCATAAATTATCGGAAGGTCTATGCTGTGACCAAATCCAACTCATATTCAATTCCTAGGCTAGAGGACTGTGTGGAAAACGTAGGACAAGCCACCTACATCACAAAGTTGGACTTACTTTGTGGTTACTGGCAAGTGCTGTTGTCGGAGAGAGCCGAAGAAGTTTAGCTTTTGTAACCCCAAATGGGCTATATCAATTTAAAGTAATGCCCTTTCAAATGAAAAATGCACCAGGCACTTTTCAAAGGCTTATGAACTGACTTGTTGCAGGATTGACTAATTGTGCCATCTACATAGATGACTTCGTGATGTTTAGCCATTCGTGGAAAGTTGACATGGAGAATTCAGCAGAGCTCTTTGAGAGACTACAGAAGGCAAAGTTGGTCATAAACTTGGCAAGATCAGAATTCGCAAAGGCAGAAGTGGTGTTCTTAGGGCACAACATCAGACATGGACGGGTGACATCGAGGAGCGTGAAGATGAAGGCCATCGAGAAATTTCCAAGACCATCCTCGAAGAAAGAAGTGCTACGATTTTTAGGATTTAGGATTTAGGATTCTACAGGCAATTTGTATCAAACTTCAGTGGCATGGTGGCACTGCTGACAAATCTGTTAATGAACATGAAATTTCAGTGGACAGACCAATGCCAGGAGGAATTTGAAAATTTAAAAGCAGAGTTAACCATTGCACCAGTTTTAGCCAAACGAAATTTTTTGCAACCCTTCAAAGTCGCCATCGATACAAGTGATGTAGATGTTGAAGCTGTGTTGTTACAGGAGGATGGTTGTGGAATTGAAAGGCCAATCGGTTAATTTTTCAAAACAAAACTCAATATCTGCCAGAAAAATAGTCAACCATTGAAAAAGAGTGATTGAGTTTGGTAATGGCCTTACAACGTTTTAATATTTACGTTGCAAACAATGTATCAGAGACAATTGTGTATACCGATCACAATCCTTTGACATTTCTGGAAAGATTTAAGGACAAGAATACCAGATTATTTCATTGAAGTATCATGTTACAAACATTTAATTTACAGATTGTACATGTTGAGGGTTGTGCTTTATCACAAATTTAAAAGAAAAATGTTTATGTAAGATAGAAACAATAGTGTTCAGTATTTTATATAATATATAGAATTAGTATAAAGTGCGTAACTCTAGATTTTTGAGCTATAGATCTAGTAATATAATGTAATAATATAATGCAGTAATCTAGTAATAAGGATTTAAAAGAAAAAAAAAGCCATGTTTTCATAATGATGATTCATTGTTTTCTTAAGAGGGAAGGTGTTGCAAAGTTAGGTTGAGCACTTGTGGATTGGGAGGCGGGAAGTTAGAATTTGGTGTCTGTACAATGCTAGAGATTTCTATACTTAGTGATTTAAAAATTACGTCTGTGAGTAGCAGTTTGAAAGTTTACAAGTACACAGAGAGCACCTGAATTGAAACATTTATATCAAAAGGCCATACAGTTAGCAGGCCAAGCAGCAGTTTTTACAAAGACAACAAGTTTTGAATTTAGCCAATCAATTTGAACCAGGCACTTAGATACCAAAAACCAATTAACTTTAAATCTGATGGTTTTAACAACATAAGACTAATCCTGTTGTAAGAACTTGATATGTCAAGACAGGAGAGCTAACTGCCACCTGCCGGAGTTAACAGGCCTCAGCTCTCAAGAGAGAAAATTGCTGGCTCTCACAGACTCCTCTAAGTCTTAGAGAAAGCACCATCTAAAGAACAAAGGTACCCACAGCACAACTAGTGAATATTCCTGACAGAAGAATTGAAGAAGCAGCTACAGAGCATTCTGGAAGACATGTAAACTGACTGTAATTTCGAGAGACTAAATTTTACTTTTTTATTTTATATAAGTTGGCCTTGTATTTATCAGAACAGTATACTATTAGAATCTTAGATAGTAGGAACTGCAGATGCTGGAGAATCCAAGACAACAAGGTGCAGGGCTGGATGAACACAGCAGGCCAAGCAGCATCATAGGAGCAGAGAGGCTGACGTTTGGGCCTAGACCCTTCATCAGAAAAGGGGGAGGGGAAGGGGGTTCTGAAATAAATAGGGAGAGAGGGGGAGGCGGATAGAAGAGGGATAGAGGAGAGGATAGGTGGAGAGGAAACAAACAGGTCGAAGAGGCGGGGATGGAGCCAGTAAAGGTGAGTGTAGGTGGGGAGTTAGGAAGGGGATAGGTCAGTCCAGGGAGGACGGACAGGTCAAGGGGGCGGGATGAGGTTGGTCGGTAGGAGATGGAGGTGTGGCTTGAGGTGGGAGGAGGGCATAGGTGGGAGGAAGAACAGGTTAGGGAGGCAGGGACGAGCTGGACTGGTTTTGGGATGCGGTAGGGGGAGGGGAGATTTTGAA